TTTTTTTTGAGTTGGAGTCTCACTCTGTCACCCAGGCTGGAGTGCAGTAGCACACTCACGACCACCCCAACATCGACTTGCTGTGCTCTGGCAATTCTTCTGCCTTAGCCTTCCAAGTAGCTAGAACTACAGGTGTGCGCTATCAAGCCCAGCTATTTATTTATTTATTATAGAGATGAGGTCTCGCCAAGTTGCCTGGGCTGATCTCGAACCTGTGGGCTCAGTCAATCTACTCGCCTCAGCCTCCCAAAGTGCAGGGATTACAGGCTGAGCCACCAAGCCTGGCCATCTTATGTGATTCTTAAGGGAAGAAAACATGAATGTAACAAATCACTGATCACTGGGCTTCAGTGTGTTTGGGCTTCAGTTTCTGTTATTCTTAGATCGTTGGCTTTTAGTTCACAAAAAAGTGGCATAATCATCAAGAAATGAGGATCTACTTTATCAGATTCTCCCAAACTGAATGTTTGATGTGTTAGGATTGAGTTTCTCCTACACTAAGTTTACATTAATAGCGCTGATAACAAAAATTGTGGGTTTTCAAACAAATTGATTACATTATAGGCTATGCTACATAAACTATATGAAGAAAATATTGGAAAATCCACTCACTGGTAACAAAACTGCCTAATGAGCCTGTTTCATTTTTTGCTTATAAAGTGTAATAAAGCTAATAAGTGCAAAGCAGAAATTTAATATTTTAGTCTTACTTCACTTGAAGGGATGTTGTGAATTTCAAGGGATATGATATGTAATGCAACAAGAGTTGTTCTCTCTATTGTGATAGTGACCCAGGGTGGTAATTGTCAGTGGCTATTTCTTGGATTACTAAATTGGGCTCCATGGAACATACAGGGAATTCCTTAGACTAATGTATAGCCCAAGTCCAGGAAAAGGAGTTTAGGAAAAGGTCATGAATGCATTTTCATTATTGCTCCATTTTCCAAAATGTTGCAGGTTGCTCAAAAAAAAAAATTAATAAAGTCAGGACAGACACATGTTCTATTCCCCTCTGAGAGATTCACGACGAATTTCAAAAGCTTTGAGAGAGTATTTGTTGTGGCTAGGTGTGGGGGCTCTTAGTTTGAGTCCTGGCTCTGTCATGAACTAGCTGTGTGACCTTGGGCAAGTTATACAAAAATATCATATGCCTCAGGTCCCTCAACTGTAAGGTGGGATCATCGTAGTATCTGTCTTACAAGGTTGTTGTGGGGTAAATGAGATGATCTGTAAAAGGCTCAGCTCTGTGCCTGACAGTTAGGAAATGTGAGCTACTGGTAATGGCAGTACTAATATGGGACTGATTATTTAAACCTTGTGCTTCTTACCCTGACTTGGCCATAGTACTCTTTTGGAGTAAAATTTATAACCATCTCACAGAATTATAGTTCTATTGAACTACCTTGGAGAAATTTTGCATTGTATTATGATACATATTATATGTCTGTGTTTTCATTTCTCTAGTTGCTTCATGAATAATAAGATTTATTATATCTGACATATAATGATTTTTTTTAAGTTTCAAAGTATTTTTTTCTTTTACCATAATTTATTTTCACATTGCTGCTGGACAGCTAGTATAATGTTAAGGCCATTCTTTCCTGAAAGTCTGGACTTACCGCCTGGTAGCCATTCAGCAGAAAACCCTCCCTGCATGGGGTCTCTTTCTTCTCTGATATTTTCCCCCCAGGCAGTGTGGTTTCTCAAGGTCACACTGAGTCCACTGTGTTTCCTTGTGTTTCCTAGTGTACTCAGCGCAGTCTGGAGGATAGAATGGATCCTGGTGCATGTTGGCTGAAATGAGGAGGAGACAAGTAAGGTTGCCTCCACAAGGTTTTAGTAGAGACCTGTAGTTGGACCATTCCTTAGCCTGCTACTTTTAGAGATTGTGTAACTGTTTTAGAACATTCATCTAGAAGAATACAAATTTCTAAACTAAGGACATATATTTTCATGACTAACTTTCTCTAGAATGTTAAAACTTT